GGCCCCAGATTTGGCACGCAGGCACAACACATCTCACCAAGCATGCAATCGGACTGTCAAATGAGTGCAAGCCATGGGCTAGCAGAACGTTCGCAACCCCGCTTCAACCCCGCCTCATGCTTCCGCTTCTTTTTCTCCCGCTTGAAGATGAAGCATCCAAGCCGCATCATGGGAAAGCTGGGCAGCGGCAGGTGCTTCCTCACTTGCGGATGGGACCTGGAAATAAACGGTCGTCACTTTTTTGGGACCTGGACTAAAAATAGACCAAACAAGGGACGAAGGGTGGAAAGGTCAAAAGCTAGTTTTTGGGCAACTACCTTCATGACTAAAACTGGTTGCCAAGCTCGGAAATCCAAAAGGTAAGGTTGATTCGCTTTGAGCTTCTCCAGGGTGTATCCTTTCGCCAAGGTCTCGTGAAAGCTCAGGGTCGCTGTCATGCCCGTGCCCCACTCACCAATGTAGGCAACGTAACCTCGGATGCGAAAACAGCTGGGCGCTGGAGTCTACCCACAGAGCTCGGATCTCCATGGCTTGCCTCCCCCCGCTGCCATGCAAGTGCCGCGATCCTTTGCCGCGATCCCTAAACCCTAAACCCCCGAAATCCACGGATAGCGCGTTGGGAGTGAGTTTGCCGAAGCCTTGCGTCGAAATGCCGACAAAACTCTTTGGCCTCGGGAGCATCCGAGACGCTGCCTGCAAAGTTCTTGAGAGCCAAGTCGGCGCATTGTTCTTCTCCAGGTGGAGGCATGCAAAGCAGCAGCATCTCTTGCTCCAGGCTTTTCAGCGACTCGGCCTGGGCTCGATTTACCCATGATTAGAGTTAGGCCCTGTTGTAGAATGTATATTTTATTGTTTGCTTCACTTTGAGTCACTGGCAAGATAAAATGTATCCCAAGTCTACCCCAACCAATTCGACTCCGCAGCAAAAAACACCTATGGAACTGGTTGTCCCAAACGAACGCCAACACTACGTCCAGGGCAAAGTTCGCAGCCGTGCCCTGCCTCCGACTTGTAGCAATATGCCCGGGATCCCCCCTCCAAACTAAGCAGCCAGGGTAAAACCTGAGTCACAATCAAAACCCGGTACAAAAATTGACCCAGAACCATGTAAAGAACTCAGAAGGCGGTCGCAGCTATTTATGGCTGGGATCGTCCCTTGCTAACCGTCATCTACTCAGGTTTTGATTGTGGCTCACCTGACATTTTGCCCTAAATCCTGGCGATTGGGAACAAACAAAGCCACATATCTCCATTCATCACTCAGATTGAAACGCAAGCGACACAGCTGCTCACCGGACAGTCTAAACAATACCCACCGGAAAGTCCAATCAATACCTTCTAAGATACGAGCTGTTTGGTCAACAATTCCGTACCCAATTGTCTCAACGCGATGCTAGCTTGGGCAACTCTGACCAAGTCGCCCAAGCTCCAAATGACATACCGTGTAGTGACACACGCCATCACACACACACACACACACACGCGCAGCCTTGGCTGCTGTTGACCCCTCATGGAAAAAAAAAAACAACAACTTTTGGTGGGTCTACTGGAACATCTACTATTTTCCCAAAAAGTTAAACGTCAAAGATCCAGCCAAATAGACATCGCACGCAGCGTGCAACGTGGTGAAGAACAGTCCCAACACGTCGTATTTGCACCCAAAACGCGACAGGCGCTAGGCTGCACTTCCCCACATCACAACCGGTCCACCTACGGACGCGGCTTGGTCATGCTGGGCCAAGCGAGCAGAAACAAAGACACACCGGGTCGTTCCATGTGGGAAATAGGCTTCCCTATTTGCTCAGAAGATCTCAGAAGTGCCGTTAGTTGCTTCTCCTCGACGTGTCCTTCTCACATAAAAAGATAGGGGCGTGAAGTGCAGCTTTGCGGCTGTACCGTATTCCACCCCGCAGTTCTCCGGTGGATCCACATCCAGGGCGACCACATCCAGGCGCAGCTTTTTCAACAACTTGGCCCAGTAGCCCATGCCGGCCCCCAGCTCCACGATACCTGGACCCAATCAGATCCCCAGTGGGTCGGCCCAACACAAGCTAACGAACGTTTTTTCCTACCACCAACGTGGTCTTCCCAAGTGCCTAAAGCCCAAGAACTCACAAAGTGAGTGGAGCCGAATCAGATTTGGTTCCGAAAAAGCCCGTCGAACACCGTGAAAACGCTGCACTTTAAAAAGGCACAGGGGGGCGGGTCGGCGCCCTTGATGAGATAGTTGGGCTACAACCTGTGGCGAAACAGTCTCACCTGCCAGCTGTGTTAATTGCCATTTGCATCTAGCCAAGGGCTCCGAAAAAAAAAGGGGGGTCCATGCAATGGGATTGATCTCTTTGAGCACCAACTCCGCTTGACATCATTGATTGAAGGTTTGAGGCGGATGTCGTTGAACGCCTGCAGCGTTCCTGTCATCCTACTGTGGGCAAGTAGTGCTTGGACTCCCGTCTTCCAAATGCCTAAGCAGCATGCAACACCGCAGCGTTTGATCCATGAGCCCACCTGTCCCGCGAGTAAATGCAGGAGGCCATGTGAGCCTACGTTTCCAAAAAATGCATCTCAATACTTGGTTGCTGTTCACCCCTCTGCACAAAGTTCAACTTGGGTTCAATGCAAAACCCTTGATTTCGAAAAAAAGCAAGTCCCAAGATCCAACCCAATAGCAATCAAGAATAATCCCTGTCAACCACAAGCCCCCCCAAAACCCCATTTCCGGGTCAAGACCCCACAGCGACCTGCGCCTCAGTTGCCCGCAAGGAAAGTTGAAAGCTCAATTGAGATTCGCCACAAGCATAGGTGTCCTTTTAGAGGAAATAGATGGGTTTCCCTGGTAGATGATTAACCCACCAGGTAAACCAGATAGATCGCCCAACCGATTTTTCGACCAAAAGAACCAAAAAAAAGGCTGTGGGAAATGGAATCCACTTCTGCGATACAACAAAAAAAAGGCTTCCCAAAGACTAACCCCCATAAAAAGGGGGAGATTCCCAAAAGTATCACAGAAGTGAGTTGGATAAACCCCGAGTGATCCCACAACCCTGACCAACAAAGGACACCTACGGCCACAGGGAGCCCGGGCCCCGCCGCGTGGAGTAAAGCCCATCTCCCCTGCCTCCTCCAGCCCGGCGCTTCAACTCCTGCAGTCCAAGGTTCCGACCAAAAAATGAGTCATAAGCAAAACCGATCGGTCTTACCCCTTAAAACTCCAAGGATTGGGGAAGTGTTCATCTTTCAACGAGGATTGGAACGAGGACTTGAACGAAGACTTGAGCGAAGGCTTGAAGGAAGTTGAACGAAGACTTGAACGAAGACTTGAACGAAGACTCGAACGAAGACTTGAACGAGGACTTGAACGAAGACTTGATTGAAGACTGGAACAAAGACTTGAACGAAGACTTGAACAAGCACTTGAACGAAGACTTGATTGAGGACTTGAACGAAGACTTGAACGAAGACCCGAACGAAGGCGTGAACGAGGACTTGAACGAAGACTTGAACGAAGACTTGAACGAGGACTTGAACGAAGACTTGCACGAGGGCTTGAACGAAGACTCGAATGAAGACTTCAGCGAGGACTTGAACGAAGACTTGAACGAAGAGTTGAACGAGGACTTGGACGAAGACTTGAACGAAGACTTGAACGAAGACTCGAACGAAGACCTTCATATGCATGATTGCTTATTGCGTTTGCTTCTCAATTTTGCAGTGAGCTTTCAAGGCAGCACAAGTTGCAAGTTGGAAGCCCTCAACTTGCCAACTCCGACTGAGTGTGAATGAGGTTGACAGTCGCGCACCCCGCCCAGAGTTACAACAACTCTGCCGGATCCGGTGCGTGAGGGCTTGACATTGAGGTTTGCGGATGCGGCTGCGGCTTGCTGAATCCGCCCCACGAGTCTTCCCCTACAAAACGAACCCGAAAAACAAAAAGGCCTGGGGATCTCTGGAAATCCTACCCTTTTCCGCACAGTACGAACTTTGTTTATGCTCATTGTGAGTTCCTTTCTGCTCAAAACGTCTCTTTTCTGCTCATAACAAGAACCCTGTGCTTCGATAGCCTTTGCACTAACAAATCCTCCAGGGTCCAGGAAATAACCCGCAAATGCGGTGCTCGTGTGTTTGAACACGCATTTGAATCCTCCAGGAAATTAGCCGCAAATGCGGTGCTCGCTTGTTTGGACACACATTTGAACATGTCTTGGGCTTCCCCCCACTGCCCTGACACGGGATGGAATCTTTAGTCCAGCTGTAAACTGGTTGTCCAAGAAGGGGGTGGCTGTTGGTCGTTGCCAGGGCGCAAAGCATCTCAGTTGCTAACGTATTAGCATACTGCGGGTCCAACGCCTTCCGGCAAAGACCGGAGGCCCCAATTCTTCGTCCATGCAATGCGCAGAGTCGTGTAGCCAGCGCAGACTGCCTTGTGCGAAATGGAAAGCCTGGAGAAAAAAAAACAAAATATAGTTCATTGCTCTCTGAACGTAGCAACTGGCCAACTGCCAAAGTTGTTCCCCCGCGCAAAAGGCATCCGCGAATGCCCGGGTGCCTGACATGCGCGATAGCCCTCCTTCCCAACTGGAAACGCGGAAGCGCGCGCCGGAGCCCTTGAGTTTGGGGGTGTTCATCGCAAGTGGCCATGGCTTGAGTGTTGCAACATAGGCTCCTTGAGTTTGGTTTCCATTGCTGGGCTTGTTGCTTGCTGCTTGTTGCTTGTTGCTTGATGCTTGATGTTTTTGTGATCGCCTGCTTCACCTGCATCCCCTGTTGGTCTCATCCAGCGCGATCAGCGGCGTTCGCCTACTAGCAGCTTTTCGTCCTCAACTAGCCGTTTCTCCCCACGCAAAAAGTGATCCAGGTGTCAAGCTTTCAAAGTGTGGCGACTGGCGGATCCAACAGAAGGAGTCGAAAACCCACTTCCTGAGAGGATTGGCAAAAAAAAGACACCAACTCCAAACTTGTTGTTCACTAGCACTTGGCCCTTTAAGCATATGTTTGTGTCCAGAAAAATCGAGGAGTGAGTTCTTGGATCACATTGAGCTTGGTTGCTACCCACCCCTGTGCCAGAAGGGATTATGTTGTGTGGGTCCAATGGACAATGCACAAAGTTTCAACGAAAAAGTCAAAGTCCAAAGATCCAACCACATAGCCATAAAAGAAACATAAGGTCAATACATGCCTCTGCCCCCAGAAAATAGCCACTCAAATGGTCTTCCCATCAAGCTTAAAGTTCATGCACTCAGGGAGTGAGAAAACTAAGGGGGTGAGTTCTCGAATCTCATTGAGTTTGGTTGAAGACCCCTCTGCCAAACAGTGTTTAACCCTTTGTGGGCCCAAATAGCCGTAAAGACTATAGCATCGGGTTGCCTTGGGCTCTGATCCCCTCCTGACTTCCTGATGGCCCACAGGAAGTTTGGCGCGTCTTTAGCTTACCAAAACGGCCACCAAACCCAAAAAGTGACCAAAGTCCGAAACGGAACTCAGGAAGTGAGGACGCCCCAAAGGATCGGGAAACAAAAGGTGATCACCTGTTGGGGTGAGATCTGGTCGATTTGCTCACGGCAAGTGAGAAGGAAAACACTCAAAGCACCCGGCCGTGAAGAGAAAGTCCAAGAACTTGGACTTGTCCAAACCCAAAAAACGCTGCGACCCCCAAAAAACTCCAACCTCTTCTGAGCTCGTCTTCCGCTCCACTCACTCTCCTTTCGTGGTTGAACCCCAAATAGCCTAGGACCTAGGATTGCATTTCGGGGTTAGGAGAATTCAGGTTTGGGATTAGGAGGGCGTCTGATCCCCGGATCATTCGCCCCTCTGAGCTCGGCTCGGCTCGGAGCTCGGCTCGGAGCTCGGCTCCTGCAGCGCGGCGCGCGTGGGCACCGCGAAGGCCTGCCACCGCGCCAGCGCGTCGCGGGCCTCCAGCTGCCACTGCAGCCGCCGCCGCCAGGGCGCCGATGCCGCATGGCAGGCCGCCTAACCGCGTGACGAGCGTCAGCAGCCCAAAGCTCGGCCGAATGGAGGGGTCCCGGGCCCGGAAAATCCGAGGTTGGGGCCGTCTTTTGCTGAAATAAATCCCCCTGGAAAACATGAGGAAGTTCTGTCCAGTGGGAAAACTCCTTTTAAAGCCAAAATCCCAGGTGGGGCCGCCATTTGCTGAATGAAAGCCATGTTCCCACTGGCTTGGATATTTGGGTGTCTTTGGCTTTCCTAGGCACCAATCTCTATTTTGAGGCTACCCTATTTTTTGTGTTCGCCCAAGGAAACCAAGAGGAAAACCCCACAGCGGGGGAGGGGGGCCTTTCGTGCCAAGCACCACGCCTCCAGGTGCCGAGCCTTGAGAAACCGTAGAGCCCAGTTGCTGCGCCTGGCACGTTTTGCCGCTGCAACGTTGGGCCGGGGCTCCCAAAGTGAAAATAAGATTTAGTGGGTGAAACTCGGAAACCCAAGCATTAAACTAAAACGAACTAAAAAGCTAGGGAACCGGATATCTGGAAGCCACCAAGGATCACTTGCGAATGCGTGGGGATGTTCACGAAACCGAACCGCGAATTTGGGCGCAAGGAACACAATGTTGTATTGCCGGCAATTTGCGAATGCACTTTAGGGACACCTCCATCATCCTCCATACTGGCTGCGAAATGCAGTATGGAGTGCTTTGTGTGCTCTTGTTCTTGCACCTGTAGGTGTGTTCTTTCTCTCGGTCTCTGCCATTGCACCCCGAGGGTCTTGACTCAGCAAGGCAACGAAAAAGCCGCCCATTGATATATGTAGGCGCGCACAAAACATACGAGGAAAGCTCGGGCAACATCAAATAGCCTCACGCTGATACAGTGCATCCGTGCTCGTTGGAAGCTTTATGCTGTTCCAAACCCACTCCTGAAGGAAACGTCACGTATTGAGCCACTGAGCAGCTAACTCAACCCGTGTCCGGGCTCAATCTCCCAGGTCACGTTGAAAACCACGTCCTAAGTGCCTGAGGGCGCTTGTGTACTAAAATTATGGGCGAGGCCTCTGTGAGCCATGGTGATATGTGCCAGTGCTTGAAAAAGAGGACCCATGATCCATAACCCCCCCACTGATTATGAAGGGGGTCCCTTTGTATTGTGGAATCCTTTCTTCCAGCAGGATCCCTTACCAATACATGGGGTGTGTATTAAGCAGCAGTCACCATTAATGGCGATTCACAGGAGCCAGTGACGAATCTTCAAAAAACAGACGCATGAAGTTGACATGACCGCGCAACCCTTTTACCAGAGACAAGCTCCGCCGCAAAGCTGCAGCTTGCCTCCCGTCGTTGAGCTCCAGTGAGGAAATGCCTCATGTGGCAGGGAAGGAACCTGCAAGGGGCCCCATTTAAGCCATGTTTGTTGTTTTCTTGTATTTGCGTGGGGCCTAGACACTGGAAGCACATACCCACGCGGAGGCTACATATCATAATTTGAGAAGCCCAATATCCTAGGTCGAGGAAAAGAAGGCAAAGGCCCTCAACCGAAGGTGTAAGCTGCCCAACGAGCGCGGTGTTTCCTTGACTGCTTTTCGGACTTATGTGGCTCGGCTATGCAACCAACATAAGCGGCCCATGTTTACGGCGCCAGCTGGCGTGCAAAAGCAATCAACAAAGCAATACCAGGGATCCTTACATTATACACCTGAACATTGCCTTGTAAATGGCGGTGTCCCTTTATTTTGGTGGAAAAAGCCATGTTTCAAATGGGCAAAATGTATCTTTTAAGGAGCCCTGAATACTTTTCTATGTTTCATGAAAACTGCCCCGCCCAGAAGAAGCCCCAAATCCCAAGCTAAAGAAGCCCCCGGCAAAGCCGTGACCTTTTCGATAGCTTGGCTGGGTGAAACCGACAAATTGGAACGGGGGGCCCAGCCTGCACAACTTGGCGTGCCACACTTCGCCAAAAGATTCAACGGACTGCCCACCGTGCCAAAAAACCCAGCACACACACACACACACACTCACAAAAGGAAACGCATATACACACACACACACACACACACCCACACACACACACAAGAGACTTGAAACACCGCGTCTTTTTGGGACACAACCTCTGGGGCCTTTACCGTGCTCCGAGCGGCGGAACGCTTCCCGCAACTTCCGCGCTGACTGTGCTCGGTCCGCCACGTTTTGCGCCACTGCTGGGTCTTGCAGAAGGCACTCCGCGGCAACCTGCGGGAAGCTTGCCCTGCCCTGCTGGTACGGGTGTGAGGGTACCCGTGTTTGTTTTTGGTGTTGAAGAAGATCCAAACGGAAAGCCACCCCCCTAAAAAAGACACCCGTATTGGCTGAGAGCCCACCGAATTCTCATTGAGTATTGGGTGAGTAGTGTTGGGAGACTCGAGTGGGCCAAGCTCTTGGGCCTTGGTGCCATGCCACCCCTGGAAGCCATATATGGCTCAAGCCCAAGCCCTTGCTCCGGCAGCAAGGTGTGACCCTTGCTAAAAACCCAGGCAGAAAGGCTTTGTCTGCTTCCTTGGAGCAGGCAAGTTGCTGGATTCGAAGGCACACAAGCTAAAGCCAGCCGAAAACGTCAAGAAAGCTGACAAGCTTTGTGCTGATGGTGAACATTTATGCTCTCTGGGGTCCGGTGGAAAGGGCAAAACAGAGCAGGAATCCGGCAGTGCGCCCACCACGGCCGATGAAAGCTCCAAACCGTTGAGGTTGCAAACCCAGACCCTTCACGAGCGCTAGCCGAAATAGACTTTTTTGGTTCAGACCGCGCCTCCGACAACCTTGCCGGATGCATGGCGGAGCGCGAGGAGTTGGCCCACAGGGCCAAAATCAACTTGTCCAGGGACGCCAGATACTGCAAAACTGCTACCGCAGACTTGGGCTCTCCTCAGCTCCACGAGCAGTCTGTTGTTTGAGACTGGAAAGGAAACGCATTGGCACGGCGCAACTTGTTTATTGCAAGTCGGGGAGGCGAAGCGATACCGTGTATTTTTTGAGGGTTCCTTTTTGGGCTTGCTTTCCAAATTGAAACCAAACGACAACAAATTATTTTCGAGGTTACACTTTTTTGAGACAAACCAATTGAAGCAATTCCTTTGCAAACACTGCGCCGGAACCAGCAGGAGCGTCTGTAAGCAATGGCAGGTTCCCAGGTAGTTTCCCATTAAACCAAGGATCAATTTAGGGCACCCTGAAAGAGCACAAAAACACAAAGACACCAAACAAACACTCTTGGAAGGCACTTGACTTCGAGTGGTAGCAATTCGAGTGACGCAGAGTAAGGGTTAACTGACAGCATCTAAATTTAACAGGCGCGAAGCACACGCAGCCTTGCGGGCAACCAAGTAACCAAGGCCTATGAAAACGCTTGCAGGTGCCACAGCACGGCGTCCCAAACTGCAAAAGCCAAGGTCTGACAGCGTCTTCGTTGGGGAGTGACTGTCCTCCGGCAAAGGTTGGCCGGGTTCATCAAGGACCCGGCACACACACTCTTTCTCTCTCTTTTTTCTCTTTTCCCCAACAGCTTGAAAGCTTTGGGTCTCTGCTCTGGGTTGGTTTGGGGCAGCTTTCAGGGAGGGCTCAGGAAGCACCACAGGTTCGCGAGCGACTTGGCGGGGATACGGAGGAAGCGGGGATACAGGTGGAGTTTGGCTAATAGGACTCATACCTATGGCACCTGCGGCGATGGAGGGGGGGGAGAAACAACAAAACCTGCAACAACCCTGCCTTGTGATCCGCGCAGCTGTCCATGCATGCAAAATAAGCACGAATCCCTGCTTCCGTAGTATCCCTGCTAGTTTGCTTCTCTGACATCTGGGCCTATTTCTTCTGGCCAAGTATCTGAAGCCAAACACGGAGGCATCTAAGCTGACCGGACCATCTGCCGCCGCCACTTCTACCAAAGCCTCCCGGAGTTTCTCCTCCGGACATCTCGTGGCCCCGCTGGCCGCAGGTGTTTAAATGGGTGTGAATGAAGCGGGGGGGGGGGGGGTTGGTGGATTCATGTCCACCAATCACTTTTGAGGTGGTTCCCTGTTAAAATTCATGGCCATTTTGGAGGGTTCATTTAAATGATTAATCATAGCCCCTGCTTGCCCGGAAATCCGTGCCAATCCTCTAAGAAAGCACGCCACGCTGGCTTCGGCGAAGGCTGCGCAATGCCCACCGCCCACGCCAGCCTGGAGCGTCTGGAGCAAAAAAGGAACAGTAGCAACCTTGGCGTCGGGGGGTTTTGACAGTCTCGAGCTTTCACCAAATCTCCCCCTGACATCTGAGGCACAAGTCTGAGATGCAGCGGGCGGGCTATAAAAGGGAAGACGCTTCAAACTGGACACACCATTGCCGGGTTTCTCAAAATCCAGGAAGGCTGTCAGCTGCCAATGGCGCAGGCAAGGAAAAACACATGGGCATATGGGTCTGTATGTTGTTGAGGGTCCCCCTTTTGTAGTCTCAAAAGTGAAAGGGAAGGAAGCGAAAAGGAACCCCGCCATTTTGGAAGTCTGACCTGAAAGAAATAGTCCACAGCCCTTCCACTGCCTTCGCGCACATTGTCCTTGGGCCCGTCCCTTTCCTGCCCTCCCCCACCCCCTTCCCCCACTTCCACGCTCCCCGCCTGAGGGCGGAGGCCGCCAGGAGTGCGATCTCGAACTGTGAACCGTCCTCGCCAGAGTTCGGCGCGAACTGAACATTGGTCTGCCTTAAACTGGGGACCCGCGCGCCAACAAAAACACATAAGTGCCGCCAACAAAAACGCGACATAATACGTGGTTTTCTTGTTGGCTTAATTGAAACCTACCTGAAGATCATGCACGAAGAGCAAATTTAAAAAATCCGAGTCTCTTTCCCCTGCAGCCAAAGCCGAACAAAAAAAAACACGGAGTCCAAACCAGCACCTGCCATCTAATTCGACCGAACGTCACATCTTCAAATTGATGCCACTTGCAACTCACTGGCATGGTGGGACCCTCCCCAACCATTCGCCTCCAACAACACACACACACACCTAGATCTGGTTTTAAAAAAAACTTGTTGCTGCAACGTGTTACTAACGGGCTCTTACTTTCAGCAGGAACCTTCCACATATTTGAGGCCACTGTAATTTGCCCCAACGGATGTTGGCCAGAGCCACTTGGCAACCCATGTTATTGCATGGCCATGCGGACCTCTCGCTCCAGAAACCCTTCTTCAGGTAACCCTTGTCGATTCGCCTGCCTTGAAAAAACAATCAAAACCACAAAAAAAAGAACACAACAAACAAACAACAACACAAAAACAAACACATAACAACAAAAACAAAAACATCACAGCAAACAAGCTACCGAAAACGAGGCCCAAGTCCTGTGAAATCTGCGGCCACAGCTCTTGCCCGAGTTCCGCCGCAGGACTTGGCCAGGGCGGCTGCTCTACGGAGCCCTCGCGCCTGGCACTCCAGGCGACGCGCCAGGCGACGACGCAAGCCCGGGCGGGGGAACACGACAGATCTGCCATACCCTGGGGCCTAAAACGAAATGGACGAAGTTGTGGGGTAGCTTAACTGGGTCCTCCAGTTGTGGAGCTTAGAATAAGGGTGCCCGATGTTTTCTTTTCTGTCTTTTTTCGTAGGGAACCCTACCCCAAAACACGGTAAAATAGGGCACCTAGCTGGGGACCTAGTCTTCCACACCCTGAAAGGCGTCATGACCAGCTTGTGGGCGGACGTAGGGATCATGAGGATTTGCTAGTGGGACAAGGGTTGTGGGAAGGAGTTCATGGCAGCAAACCTCCACCAGCTTTCATCTTGGCATCTTGCAGGAACAAAGAAAGCTTGCGGTAAGAAAGAAACTGGATGTGTTTCGGTCCCCGGCATGTTGGTGCTCGTTGTCGCGGGCGTGTTTGGTTTTGGTTGCCCTGGTGTCCCAGCGGTGTTCAAGTGGTGGACGGGTGGTCTTGCAATGTCTTGCACCATGGACAACCTCCCCAACTCATACCATCTCTACTCTTGGTATGGTAGCCAAAAAACTTTGTTTTGTTGCAGACCCCCAGTAAACATGAACAGAACCAAAAAACTAAAAAACCGAAAAACATGCCAAGAACGGTGAAGATACCCCTTTCCAGCCCGAAAGCGAGCGGTCTATCGGAGTCCTCTTGGCGCCCAATGGAGCCGAAAGGTGGCCACAGCCCAGAGCGTCTTCACAGGTGGCGCGGGGGAAGGGGGGTTTGGGGGGGGGGAAGCATTGCCCAGCTGCATTAAGAGGCATAGACCTTTTGTAGCGATGGCCTGCTGAAGTCCCTGATTTTAGACCTGATGTTTAGAGGATAAACAAAGTTGGTAGAAAGGGGGTGGTAAAATGGCACAAGTAACCTCAAAGTTCGACACTTCCAGGGATTCCGACAACAAGGTTTAGGTACACACCCAGGCACGATTTACGCGCATCGCCGCATGGGCTTGCGACCCGGTTATCCGTTGATGATGCGACCCTGAAAGACGCCGCGGACATCCGGCCGAGATGGATGCACGCCTGTCGATCTCCTGTGCCGCCTGTGCCAAAAGCCGCTCCTGCAGGTTGCCCTTCCTTGGGATGCGCCGGACGAAGCCCGGGGGTCACAAAGAGATTTCCGTTTGGTTAAGACCCCCGGACAAAAGAAGAAAAAAAAGCCAGTAGCGCTACACTCCTTTTTAAACCAACATGGGAAAATAAACAATAAACATGTTTTCTTAATCAGCTATGTTTAAGGAAAGCAAATAACCAACATGTTTGTTTAAGGAAAATTAACAATAAACAAAATAAACAATCTTAAGCAAATCCCGAGGCAATCCAAACCGCAGGTTGACGCGCTCAGTGACACTATGATATCCACCGCAATTGGAAGTTGGTGATGTATGGCTGCATGTATGGCTGGTGAACCCTAGCCAGGCAGGGACAACAAGCTTGATCAGGTGACCAGGCGCATGAGCTTGTCTTCCCCTGGCGACCGGGAAACGGCCAACAAAACTTGCTTTGCTTTCCATGTCCTACAGGTTTGCTGGTAACCTCCGAAAGGCTCCATCTAAGGCGAAAAAATGGATGCACCTCAACGGCCCCCTTCCAACCACCAGCCCTGCTAGGAGCGCCCCCCTCAGCCGCGAGCGAATTGGTTCGACCAATGGACGTGCGTGAAAAGCCAGGCGTCTGGCGCACTCGCCGAATCCATGCGAAACTAAAGAGACACCTCATTTGTCGTAGTCAGTCCATTTCTCCCATCATTGCGCGCTCTAAGGAAGCCCCCCGTTTAATGGCCATGAAGCTGACAATGCTTGACCTTTCCCAACAAAACCCAGTGTACAAATACACATGAAGGCCACACACAAATGGCATACACGTGCAGACCGTGCAGTGCAATGCAAATGTACACCTGTCATGGCTGGTGAGTGGAATTTTCAAGAAGTTCCTTGTTGCTCGTCTGCAGGCAAATAGTCATCCTCTCGTTTCTTTATTCCTTAAACCCGCCCAGAATGTACATGATCCACCCCCGGCTAACGACTGGAGCCCTCGCCCAAGTCTCCGCTTCTTTGGTTTGGTCACCTGCACCTCCGGTCTGAACTGCGGGATCACCTCAGGGGCGCGGGGTAGGATTCTGCCGAGGAAATTGGTAGGTGTCAAGAAAAGGTAGGTTGCTTGTTGGTTTCCTGCTTCACCGACCTGCAAATGGCACCCTCAAAACCACACAGGCCTCGGCCAGATTAAACAAGTGAAGATGACAAAAAATCCGAGGAGAGAATAAGACTGAATCTGTCAAACAGAGAGCAGCTGGAATCTTAGTAACTACACTTGGGTGAAGAATCATAGATGGAACAACCCAATTCATGTTCAATCATATCCGTTCCTTTGCAGCATGACGGGAGGTATGCCGCCTACCCTTTTTGTGCTTTAACCCCTTGAACGTGCTTTGACTTCCTTTCCATTGATTTTCCGAGCCTTGCATCTAGCACAGCTGCTAACCAAAACGCAAGGCTCCCCTTGCAACGTCAGGTCAGCCCCAACAAGCGCATGGACCGCCTTCGATCTGCAAAATGCTTCCTGCAGCTCCAACATGGGTCCCTCCAAGCTTGCATGCTCCCCAAGAACAAGGCGAGTCTTCGGCCAATCCTGTCGAACTGCACCGCGGAATCCTGGAAAAAGATCCTCCAGAAACCAAGGGAAGTCTCTCACCGAAAAAAGGCAACCAAGCACCGCGCGTTTTTGAAGCCACTTGGCTGGTTCGTGTGCTTGCTCCAGCCACAAAAGGCCCCCATTGTGCCGGAATTGACAGAGATATTTCTGTGGGAAGTCACATCTTGGCGACGAGCTTGCTTTTTTGAGTTGGTCAACCGTCATTTTGGGGGGTGCCGAATAAAAATACAAGACGCGCCGAACTCCTTGACAACCACGAACCAAGCCTTGAAATGGTCTGGAACCGAGTACCCTTGTTGAATATTCGAAAGGGAAAGCCGCTCTTTGGGCGTGCCAAGCCTTCCGCGACGCAAAAAACGGGCACCCAGTCCCAGTTGATCCAAGCCACCGGCGGGCGATCGGCTCTGGGAACCACGCTGGTCACAAAGGCCGCCATGAGCCGCCAGGCGACCGACAAAGGAAACCCCCAACCCAGTTTAGCACAGCCGCTTTGCACAACCTCCCATAACTTGGTCCTCCAGTGGAGAGGTTAGAATAAGGGTACCAACTTTTTTCCCGTTTTGTCTATTTTAGTAGGGGAACCCTCCCCCCAAAAAAAAGGTGAGAAAGGGCACCTGGCTGGGGGACCTAGATAAAGCAAGGGTCGCCTCTGGACACGCCTGATGTATCACACAAGTCCTGTCACTGTCCAGCCTAAGAACCTGCATGCAGGGTGCCCTTGCGCTGTCGCAGTTGGGTTGCATTGAAGAAACCCTGCAACATTGAAGCAAACGACTCAAGAGACAGATCGAGCTGCAACAGGGATCCTTACATGAAAAACACCTGAACATTGCAACTTGTAAATGGTGGTGTCCCTTAATTCTGGTGGAAAACGCCATGTTTCAAATGGGCAAAATGTATCTTAGGAGCCCTGTGTAACTGTCACAGCTTGCGCTTCAAGTCCCTAGGCACCCGTATCACCCTGTCGCGCCGGAAGTTTCAGGAGTGCTTCCTTCTCTTTCTGGTGCTCAGCCAGGAATATGGACATGACCCGGAGAAAAGGAAAGAAAGAAAGAACACATCCCCTATGGTTTCCTTCAAGGGAATCCCCAGGTTCATTCCCTACTGAGCCCCAGCAAGCTTTTCTGCAAAGGCTTTGTCGGTGCTTCCTGCGCGTCTCTGCCTAAGCTGCAGAAAGCACGCTGGTGACAAAGAGCGGCCGGCGACGCTCACCGGAAAAGCTGGCGGGCAACGACCCAGAAAATGGTAGAGGCTCTCACTGCCTAAACCGGTCAGGCTTACTTGGATGTGCAACCAACCTAAGTAGGGTATAACTTCAAACCATGGCTATAAGTTGCCTATCTGGGGTTGGTCCCTTATGTCCGGGGTTAGTCAGAAACCACTTACTAAGTTGGTTGAACATCCAAGGAGCTGGGTGCTCACATGCGCTCACTTCCCACTTTCCATCCACAGACCCACGGAATCCCAACCAAACAAACCCAGCAAGGCACTTGGATACCTCGCGACGCTTTGCGCTGGTCAATTGTCCCGACTTCCGTTTTCCTTTTCTGTTTTCTCAGGACTTCCCCTGCGAGAAACGAATCCCAATGAGACCCCAAGTGGGTTTTCAATCTCTGGAAACGGCCTCCCCAACTCCCAGCATCCCCGCCGACTGCCGACTGGCGACTCCTGCCTTTGGCACGGCTCTTCTCGAAGTTCTTCCCCTTGGCCGCGCATTTCCCACGACCTTTGGAGCCCATGGACGCCACAAAAAGGCCGCAAAGGGATGTCTCACGCGGAGAGGCTCAGGTGCTGACTCTGTGGGTGTGAATGGTCAATGCTCCAAGGGGCTACGCAAGCCAGGAATGACCGGCACGCCACACTTGTGGAAGATTGCTCATGGTATTTTTGCGACTCGATGGCCCCATGGCATGTGGAGTTAACAACATGTCCATCTGATGTGCTTCGCGTCCGTGCAATTTCTGCCCGCGAGGGTCTCTGGATGTTGACCAAACGGGGCAAAATGTTTATTGGAAGACTAGGCTGGCATGGTCTGCATGTCTGCCGGCCCTGCGAGCCAAAGAATCACACCACTCGAATCAACTGCTTCTCTAAAGAACTCCGTGCGCCCAAAGAATCTTCTGGTGCAATGTTTCTCCCCATAGCATGCCTCACCTTTGCCATCCAGCTCACATGATGGGATTCCTCTCTCAAGCCGGGCTCGCCAACAAGAAAGCAAGCCTGAAGCATCCTGAAGTAAACTCCTCAAATGACAGCAGCGAACCTAGCGGTGTTGCATGAAGAACATCCACACCCCGCAACGTTCACACATGATGAACAAGTCTTCCAGCTATCAGCTGGGTACAACATGCGGGGGGGTCGAACAACAGTTCAATTCCCAACTTATTTGCTAGCTCTGGGCATGATAGAAACATTACATTTTGCCCCCAGAAGCAAGTCACTCCGAGAGAGGTTGACTTATTCCTTCCTGTGTTTTCCCATATCCCATGCCAAAATATGTCAACTTGCTTTTTGTATATGACCATGTTCGATGCAGCAAAACACTGCATGCTTCTAGGGTATGTGCCGCCTGCACCAGCTGGGCGGACATGATGCCTCTATGTATCACAGTTCCATTGTTAAAATGGGGAAAGCCAAGCAGCCCTGGATGTTGGAGGTTTCTTTTGATGTGCAGCGGCTAGTTGTGAGACGGCCTTAGGGCAGAGTTGAGCCTGTACCGGCCAGAACTGCGGCTCGCTAGACGTTGACTTAGTAATTCCGATAGTCAATCAGCTGTTTCCGTGCCCCGAACAGACAGCCACGACATGTGCGCAAGTTGGCTGAAAGAGTTGCAATAACTCGTCATGGAAACAAGGGATCCGGGATGCTGGCCAAGGAAGTTGTCGTTGGTGATGAATCCAAGCTCCCTCGCAATACGGGAGGAACCAAGAATCCATTCAGCAATCAAGGACCAGCCGCCTCCTGCTTTTTCCCGGACAAATGGAATCCCCTTAGAATAAGCGCACCTTTTTTTTGCCGTCTATTTTGGTACGGGAACCCTCCCAACCAAAAAAGGGGTGAGAAAGGGCACCTGGCTGGGGGACCTTGAAGAGGATGCTCAAACTCGGATGCGGAACAAGCGCATGGGAGAGCGTGGCTGCAACCTGCCCTCTGGCGCCAAGATCTGAGATCATTGGCCTTTGGCCTTGGGGGGCTCCCAAGGCCAGGAAAAGCCGCGACAGAGAAAGGACATGTCCAGCGCAGGCCCTCCATGGCACGGTGAAATCTAAACTTTTCTTCGGAGCCTTGTGACTTTTTCCCGCTCAGCTTCCATACAGAGAGGCGGCTACCAAGGTGTACACCTGTTGGGCTTGCTTAAATCGATTTTAGGCTCTTACTCAGTTGTTCAGTGGCCTGGAAGAAAAGGGAACCCTTTTTGGGGAAGACATTTTCTTTGTGGGGCAGCCACCCCCCAAAAAAAAGGAAAAAGGGTGCCACTGAACAACTGAGTTTAGGATCAACTTGACTACTAGCGCTCCTGACCTGAGGTGATGAGATGGTTCTTGTGGCCAAGTGGCCAAGTGACAGACATGGATGCAAGACGACACTGGGGTTGCACCTTGGGGCCAAGAAACAGCTCGATCGGCTTCCCAAGGGAAGTACATCAGAATGGTCTTGCTGTAGCACACCAAACTACCAAACTAGAAGACACCCCCCAGACCCGAAAACAACTCGAACCGACACCCGCTGGAAAGCACGGCCGATTTGGAGACCAACTGACTACAAAGGAAAAGATCCCGCAGAAACACCGAGAGCGACCTAAACCCTGAACCTAGTTGCAAACCGACAGATGCCGCAGAGTGGCAGCTTAAACCCGCAGAGTGGCAGTTGGCTGCTACCAAAGAGCTGCCCATGTCCTTTCTGCTATTCCGATGCATCCGGCCGCCATCCAGGAACATGGCCGGGAGTATGTGGCACCGCTGGCGGGGAAACAGAGAGCCCGTTCAAGCTCAGATACGACTTGGTGGCACTGCGCCAAAGCAAGAACAATCCCGGGGACACATTTGAAGGGATCAATCATGTGCGAGGGTCCCACATGGTCCTCACTTTGAAGCTACGGGGAAACCAATGATCTGTGCATTCTGCCCCCCCCTTTCCAACACGAACTTCACCCACAACCAGCAAGCAGCTTGAAAACGACTGCGGGATGTCCGCTTATGTCTAGCGAAAGCATGTTGGCTATCTCGTCGCTCCACTGCTAAGAGCACGCTATTCTCCTTCTGGTTTTTAGAGGCTGGATCCCTTGGTTACCTACTATACGGGTATAAATTAATCCACTGGGCAGGGATTGAGTGAAGGGGTCAACCAAATGCAAAAAGGAAGGCGGTCTATGCTGTCTTGTTTGGCCGGTGACCAAGCCGCAAAGCTACGGGGGAACCCACTGTCCATTGGACACGTGGCCCCTATCATGGCAGCTGCCGAACTACGGGAACCGGGGATGGTGTTTGAGATGGTGTCCCATTTCAGGAGCCCCTCACTTCTTAGGGTAGCACCTCCCTATTCATCCAGGTTGATTAATCCTTGCCAAGCCCCATGGCCTTAAACATGAAACTTGGACGGATTGATCCTCGAGTTGATTACGGTCATCTTCAAGGAGGATTGGCCGGCTCGCCCACACTAGCCGTCCCCAAACTTCCGAACTGTCCTCACATCTCTGGGTTTACCTTTCTCACCCTTTTCTCAGAACACAAGGCGCCGTCTACCTTCAACACACATGCGATAAACATTCCAGGCGATGTCTACACGCAATCAAGAAAAAGAGTATGTGTACTGGTGAATGATAAAGCCACTAATCAAAAGTTGGGGCCCTTGTCACATTCTTGTGTGGCATGCATCCATCAGGCTCTCCAGAAACACATGTGAAAACACATGAAAGCACGTGAACATACATGGTCAATATCCCAATGAATTGACACCAAGAGGGTCTCCTCACCTTGGCCGCTCCGAAATTTGACCGATCAAAAGAAGTGTGTTGTGGGCATATGTCCTTCCAAGAGCGTGGTCTTTCACAAGAAAAAGGGCAACGGTCAACCTTGGGGCCACTGCAATCAAACCCTCCGTTGGCTGAAGTCTCCTGGACACAATGAGCGTATGTCCATGTTGATCCTGGGAACATGTAAAACCAAATGTTGGGAGAAAAACGGTGGTCGATCAAAGTTTGGGCATGACTGATTGGTCAAAGCGAAGGCAACAAGGCCGATCCTCGAGATTTAACCTGCTTCACTAGCAGATCTATCGCTCTCAACCACCAAGAATTATCATATGATACTGTGGATGGACAAAATCCTGCACCACCTAAGAAACCCTGCAATGATGACCCCCTGTAAATACCAACTAACAATGCCTGCCTATGGTGTCAAAGTGGTGCGAAGCGCATTTCGTCCATCCACAGTATGT